ACTGGGGGCTGTTTTGGGCAGGGCGGTCCCAGCTCCTCGTGGTGCAGGCAGTGGGGGGGAGGCAGCTTGCTCCCACCTGCACCCCACACCTTTGCGAGCTGCGCAGCGACGGCCAGCCATGAAAGTGAAAATGAATCCTGCGTATCTTATCTACTGTCTGGTTTTTGCACCGGGGATGCTTCAGCTTTCAGATTTTTATCTGCTCAAGGGTGCTAAAAAGTTTATTTTTTGTGAGTGCTGATACAGCAGCACATACGTGTTTCCAGGTCTGTAAGAGAGACGGAGGTAGATGGGGGCTGCAGGGGAGTGAAGCGTTTGTGGAAATCCTTCGGCTCTTGCTCCTGTTGGAGCTGTCAGGTTGGTTTGACAAGAAGGGCGCGCGTTCGAGAGGGGCAGCGATCGCTATTTCTGGCAGCAGGAAAACACGCAGGCAGGGATGGGGCTGTCATTCGCTCTGGTGTTTTGACAAGAGCTGACGATCTTTTGTTTAAATCTGTGGGTGAAGTCAAAATGGGTGTTTCGAAGCTGATAGGAAGACAGCGTGTGATTGAGGATCTGAGGTGGGTCCCATCTAGATAATCAGCTCAGAGTTGGGAAACTCAGTCCTCAGGAGAGGAGCAAGTCCTGAACGTTGACGTCGGTCTGCCTTGGCTGCGGCTGAGCGGCGCTCGGGGGCCAAGGAGGGCTCCACGCTTTGTTTTAATTGAATTTCTGTGTCCTGCGGTTCTTCTGCTCTGCTTCCCCCATCCAAACTCCACTGAAAACTGAGTGCTTTAAGGAAAAAAAACAAGAACCGTCAGAGACAAATCATGCCATCTGGTGACCTTAATTTCTAACAGGGAACAGGTAAACGTTTTGTAGCCAGAAGGATGGGTAAAATATCCAAAGCAGGATGAGTTATTTTGCCAACTGCTGTCAAGTGTGTCCGCGATGTTGTTGTGCTGGTAACACACGCCAAGGACGGTGTCATTGTGTCGTGCACAGAGGGGCTGGGAAAGGAGCTTGGAGGTCACGCAGTTGAAGCCAGACCCATCTAAAAGGACATTTCTCTGGTTTTGCTTCATTCCCACACTGTGTTGGCTAGTACAGACAGCCAGAGCCTGGGTAAAAAGCAGAATGAGCTCCGCTTGGATGGTTGGAAGCAGCTCTCCCTGGCAGGCAGGGCTCGGGATGACAAGGTCTTACTTTGGTATGACCCGAGGAGAGCCAAGCTTTTGACACTGAAGCTGGGGAAATGAGCTGCCTTGGTGCTGATGCTGGCTCCGAAAGCCAGCTCCCCCAGTTTGGTGGTGGTGGTCGCTGGTGAGCAGGAGCTGTGAGGAGCCATCCCTGAAAACGGCGGCAGAAGCCGATGTGTCCAAGGAGCCAGTCGCTCCTTGTGTGAGTGAGGGCACAAGCCATGAGGGTAGGAGCAAGTCTGGTCTTTGAGGGACCTTCCAGAAGGTCTCAGCTCCTGTAAGAGAAAGAAGACTGCTGAGTCAGGAGATCTCCTTCCCCGTGAGAGTCTGAGCTCTGTAAAACCTTTGAATTCGGTCTTCAAGTGGTCCGTCCCCATTGGTGAAGCTGGGCGCTTTCTGAAGGGTCGTTCAAACTGGTGGTGAAGTAAGAAGCCAGACTAGGTCTGATGGAAATGCACTTGTCTAAATGTCATCTTTCAAATTCGGCCGAAAACTGAACTCTTGACAAGCTGTGCCCTTATTGATCTTAGTGGTGCGATCTGAATTGGGGCATTGTTTTTGCCAAATTCTAAAATTGCTCATTGTTTCCCATTATATCGTCCTTTTCCTGATCCGTTTGATTTGCGTGCAGTGTTTTTCTTTCTCCCCGAGTCACGGGGGTGTGCTGTCACCCAGCTGCGGCTCTGTCAGACCGGCTTCTGTGGCGAGCAGCCTGGGGGTTCAGTACTCTCCTCTCACCTCGTAATGGAGTTGTGTAGTTTGCCTTGGTGTTTTCAGTGCAGTTTGAAAAGTTGAGATAGAAGGTGGGATAAAAGGGCAGAAGATGCTTATTTTTTCCTCCTTTGATCGCTGAAAGCCTCGCTTAAGAAAAAAATCAAGTGACTCTGACTCACACAGTCATCAGGACATATATATATGGCCACTAATATTTTTGGATGCAGAAAAAATGCCTTCAGCACTTTGCTGAACAAACTGCTGATACATGGCAGCTGTTCCTTTGTCAAGCCAAATACTAATGTTGTGCTACTTCCAGCAGTCGTTTTTGGAGGTGTGGTTTTTCAAGAAGGCCCAAAACAAAAATAACATTTGAATTGCAAGCTTAGAAATGTGTGGTTTTACAGAGGCTTCAGAGCTGACAAAAGAGGGGTTTTTATGGTGTGGCAAATGTTAGTAGTCCAAGTGCATAAAATGTATGTTATATAAATAATGCAGCGGTGTAGTTTGGCCTATTCTCTCTGCTTTCTGCAAATGAGCCTGAAGCATTTTCTTGACCCAAATCGTACATGAAAATCAAAGAAATAACTCTTCTGCTGTTCTTAAAAGTAAAAGGAGCTGTAAATAAAGTCTCGGCTTTGAGAATATCGGTGTTACTTTTTATCTGAGAGAAGAATAAAGCGTTTGATAATATATTTAATCTGCTGTACACCTAACTGTGATGCTGATTCACACGGGATTGTTTAAACCGGAAAGCGAAGAGGATCCTCTGTCCACACCTCTGCAGCAAGCAGGCGACTGCAGGGCAAACATTGGCTGACTTTGAACCCAACATTGCTTCAGGCATCCCCTGCTACGGATGTTGAAGTAATGGGGTGGTGAATGCTCCAAGAAAATCAACAAGGCTGCTTTTGTGGTTCATTTTTATTTATTTTCTTTTATTAGACAACTGCTTTCCATTATAAATAAATAAGGCAAGAAGGTTCTCCATACTGTTACAGAGCTGGTAGCCACAGTCGTGCGTGTGGCTCCAAATGTTTCTCGAGGTTGGGGCCAGAGGGGCCCTGAAAATGCAGAGCCCTTTTTTTTAGCCAGAGCGCGGAAGGGCGGAGCGGCTGGTGCTGGGCGGTTTGAGGAGGAGACCTCTGGAGCGGGGGCGGTTTGGGCATCGCACTCCTGCCAGCTTACCTCCGTGGTACTCAGCTTAACAAAAGAAGGTATTGTGGGGGGCTATTTTTGCACTAAGTCCATGGTGAGTGAAAGGAAGGTGGCTCCTTGTGACGCCAAGGCCCTAGACTCGGAGGATAATTACATTTTAACAGTCTTCCCCCTCCAAAGCCACATTCTCATTTAGTTATCTCAATGTTGCAAAAATCCCAACCGTTTCCCCAAGATTTTGGGACGTAAGCTGGTGAAAATAGAATCCAAATCTGGCCTGAAGTTTGTCTCCAGGCAGGTACGGAATAGGTAGCTTACACTGAACTGGTTTCTTGTGGCTCAAAGCTCAGGGTGTCGCCTAAGCTGTAATGAAATGCTGCTTCTCTGCCTGAAACGCGCGTCTGACCATGCACAGTCAACATCTAGTTCACGAAAAATGGAAACTGGTGATTCCTGAGACTGCAGTGGCCTTTTGGCTGTGTGTTTGCATGTCTGTGGAAGCAAAAGTGAAGCGATTTCAGTGCTGGAAGGTGAGCTGGAACGTGAGAGGTGACAACCTTTGGAGACAGTGTCTCAGCCAAGAAGGATTATTTTCAGCAGAAAACTGAAATCTGTCCTCTTGGCTGGGGAGATGTTCAGAGGAAAAGTGTGGGGCGATGTGTGCTCAGTGCTACAGCCAGAGCCAGAGCTCCTGGTGCTGGAAATGCTTTATCCTTCTGCTTGCACGCGAGTCACTGGTAGCCAGTTCTGCAAGCCCACGCAAGCTGTATTTGAGGAGTTTGCTACAACGAGGCAATGGCAACCTCTTGAAGAGCACAGCGCAGAGGGCCGGTATCCAGACCGTGAGATGAAAGCGTGTCTCTGATACTGTAATAGCACTTCTCGTCTAGCTTATGGGAAAGCCATGGTCACCAGGTTCCTACCAGGCATGGTGCTTCACCTGGGCTGAAATACTGCGGCAGGTTTAAAGCGAGGAAATCCCATATGCCTACAAAGTCTGGAGAGTATGGACTGAAATACTAAGCGACGCTGACAAAGACAGAACAATCAGTTCAATGTTTCTTTTCAAGTTTTTCCAGTTGCAATGAGCTTGCATTGTAAATAGCTGAAAAACCTGACTGTAAGAGAATGGCTTAAATAGCAAGAACATACTGCCCTTTGGGGAAGGGGAAGGCGTAGGTGGAAGTCTCTTGGGTGCAAGCGTAGGTTCTTAGCCATAAAACCAAAGAGGAGGATTGGGCTGGTGTGCTGGAGCAGCCCCTGAAGTTCTGATGGCTTTTTATTTTACTTTGAAACACTGTGCTCCGGCTGTGGCAGGATGCTGGAGGACATCCAGGCTTTTGCTTGCAGATAATGGGGCTGTAAGACGAGCTGAAAAGGGTGGAGGAGGTGATTTGCTTTCTTTTTTCGTGGTGTGGTTTACGTTGCTGTTGTGATGTCTGGCAGCGGCAGCAACTCATGCAGAGATCCGTCGTACGGTTTCTGAAATCCTCTAACTACAATGTACAATTGTCCCAACAAGTTGCCCAGAGCCCAAGCTTAAAGAAAAGTGAGTTGAGGCTCCGTGACATTTGCTTTCTGTAGACCTCTTGAACCTTCAAAGCAGCGGGGCCACGTGGCGGTTCCTGGGGCTGAAGAGAAGACTTGGCTGTTGCGATTGCACGTGGGAGTTTGCAGAGAGGCAGGGCTCATTTGCTGCTCTTGTTTTTCACCTTGGTGGCATTGATGTCTGCTTTTGTTTTCTGGATACGGGAGAAGATCTCCTTAAAAAGAGCCTTGTACTCGGGCTGGCTTTGCTCCAGTCGCTTGTCCACGGCCTCCACGTGTTTGCTGATGGTCTTCTCCATGGTTTTACGCTCTTCGAACTCGTGTCCCTCTCCTCGGAAGTCTCTGAAGGAGCTGTCGCGAGAGATGGGCCGGGACGTTTGGACCCCTGTGTGGCGCACGCTGTCCTTGTGCTGCCGGCATTTGCTCAGGAGCTCTTCGTACTTCTCCAGCAAGGCGTGATACTGCTCGTCCACTTCCCTTAAGATGGACATGCCCCGTTTGCGCACATTGTTAGCGTGCAGCGTGTAATTGCCCTCGTGCCGGCTCACGGCGTCCTTGGTGACGATGGCATTGAGGGCTGTGTCACTGCAGCTTTTCCGGACAGGGTGGTTTGGAGAAGGCGTCATTGACGGCCCATGACTTTTTCCTCCTTCCTCCTCAGAGAGGTCGATGTAGTCGGCTTCTGGGGCGTTATTCAGCGGCTCGAGGAGGGCCTCAGACAAGTTGTCTTCTCTGCTGAGCAGATACTTCTTGACTTGTTTCATCTGTTGTAGCTCTAGAAGCTCTGCTTCCAGTTCCTTGATGCGCAGTTTGCAGTTCTCCATCTCGCACACCCGCTGCTCGAGGTCCGAGTACTCCTGAATAACAGAGGTGTACTCTCGCTCAACCCTCTCCTTCCGCTGCTTCTCCTGGTTGACTTGGGACCTCAGGGAGTTCACCATGGCTTGGAGACGCTCATTCTCCCTCTCCAGTGGCTTCTGGTTGAACTCTGTGGAAGAGCTGTGGACCTGGAACGCATCCTCATACCTGAAAGAGAAGACAGACCCTTGAGAGTGTCTGACCAAGTGGCAGTCCGTGAGGGACTCAGTGTGTCTTATTGTCATCTAAGTGACTCCACTGATGCCCAGAAAGGAGGTAACCTGAGCTCATGAAGTGCAATATGCCTCCTTCTGCATGTCAGGAGACCACAAGGTGTGGCTGGGGCTCTTCTGGACACAGAGACCAGTCTCTGTCCCAAAGAACCTGCAGTCTCATTTGATAGCAGTAATGAAAGACAGGAAGGATATGAAACCCTAAAAGGTGAAAGATTCGTCTGGTTAACAGACAAGCCACCAACGTTGCTGTGAAGCAAGGATGAATGTTCAAGTGCTACCAGTCTGAGCTGAAAGTAGAAGGCTTTGAGTTTTTCCTGCTGGAGTTCACCAGTTGCTCACTGCACCTGCCAACAACCCCAAAGCCCATCCAGCCAAACCCAGAAGCACAGGGTCTGCTGTCCTGTGTCTGGGAGGTGCTCCAGAGAGAGTGGGACAAGATTTACACAGCAAGGGAGGCAGACAGAGACTTTTGACAGAGTTGCCTCTTCTTCATTGCCTGGGAAGTGACAACAAGCGCTTCCCCCTTCCCTCACGTTGCTGTTGGGAAATCAGATTTTTCTCCTCCTGCATGAAGAGCCCATGGCATCCTATCTGGTTAGAACAGATTGGAAAAAATGCAAGCACTGTGGCTTCCCCTGGGAGGCATGACTGGTGGCGGGGGGTATTGAACAGATTTCCAAGTTCCTGAAGGGCAGCCTGACCTTCAGAGCCAACTGCAGATCTGCCAGCCGAACTGAGGTCCCGAGGCACTGGAGGAGAGTGGGACTGGGGGGGAAGAGAACCACAGAGACATGAAGTGGATTTTGCTGGGGGTTAGGTTATGCCCTCGTAACATCCCCGTTGCTGCTGCAGTGAAAGTGTCCTTTGTTCACATCCTCTGGCAGGGGATGCTTTCAGTAGCAAAGTTTATCGATTGCTGATCTATTTAAAGAAGCCTCTGTTATGGACAAAGCTGAGTAAGAAATGCCCTCACGAGGTCAGTGAATTAACACGGTGGGTGAGTTTTAAGGAGGATCAAGTGTGCAATGGTGCTGAAGGTGCTTCTACAGCACTTGGCAGTACACGGCGTGTCTTGGTGTGTGGCTGGTGCTCCTGGGGGGTACGGGAGTCATACAGCACAAAATGCCCCGCTCAACTGGTTTCAGTGGGCCAGAGATGCTGGTCTTGTGCTGGGAAGCAGCTGCAAACGGAAAATGGGCTGTGCTGGTTCGGGAAGGGAAGCTGTGTAGGCAGCTCAAGGTAAGGATCCTCTTCACATGATGTGTTACTGGGTGGGCTGTACTGGGAGAGGCTGGTTTGAGCTATCTAGGATTCAAGCAACGCGTCCTGACCGGTGAGTGTTCCTGCACAGCTCCCTGCCAACATGCCAGGACAGTCACAGCCCCTCCAGGCAACGTCTGTCCCCTGCAGCCTGGCTCAGTGCTGCTGCGTAAGGCGGCCAGATCCTCCTGGGCAGCTGTTCCTGCCCTCTGAAAAACAGCTTACATCTCCCCGTTCGAGGCATCGCTGATCACGAGGGCTCTGCTTTGCCAACGCTGCCTGCTCAGGTGGGTGGGCAGGAGAGCAGGTTGTCCTCCTTCCACCTCCAGCATCGAGTTTCAGGCTCTGATGCAGACCCTAGATCTCTATAGGGGTGTACGTGGAGTTTTATGCACCCGCAGAGGGACTAACCCACAGGCAGAGGAGGTGGGGGAGAAGGTCGGAGGGGTTGCTAAAGGTGAGGCTCTGTACCTGGGGCTGGAGCACAGCTCCTTGAGGCAGGGGAAGGTGTGGATGGTTCGGCGCCGCTCCCTCTTTTCCCGCCGGATGCGGAGCTGCTCCAAGCTCCGCATCTCCTCCACCTGCTTCTGCAGCTCCTCCACTTGGTTCTGCAGCCCCTCGATCGTTTCTGTCAAGCTGTGGAAAGAGGAGGGAGCACAGGTGAGGAGTGGGGCACTATAGGTCCTCGAAAGGTGTTTTTTTTCCCTGTGGAGAAAGCCAGTCTATGGAAGGTGCTTCCAGTTTCTAGCGTGCGCCCTGGGAGCGTGATAGCACTTGCTTTTCAGGGCAGTGGTCGGTCTTTCTTTGCATGGTCACTCTGGAATAGATGTGTTTGTAGAAAAGGGTGGGGGACTGAAGCAGAATCAAGGGGTTGTACTAATTTGAGACCCTCTGTCCTCAAACCAGTTGGCTAAAACTGTCACCTCTGGGACATAAGCACTATCCTGGAATACAGCTGCACTAAAAGCAAGCAGGCGAGCTATTCACTCTCTTCCTCTTGTTTCTCTCGTACAGATGAACACAGAGAGACCGGGCAGAGCTTTAGTTCTGTTCTGGCTGTGAACAGTTTGTAAAACTCTCTGCTCTGAAACTCCCTCTCTGCGCAGCTGTTTGCAAAAGAGGCTGCATTGCAAGGCCGTGGCTTACTCTGTTGTTTCCAGGGATGACCTTGATCACGGGCCTGTTTTAGGAAAGAAAAAGTTATTGACAAACTGGTGTTTCAGCATGGACTAGCCAGGGTTTCACTGAATGCTGGATCTGTGCCTGCTGGGCTGCGTGCTGGGGACCTCCCTGATATGATTATGTGCCTCTTCTTCAAGGAAATGCATCCGAGGAGGAGGAGGAGAAGCTGCTGTGCCTCTCTCCTGGCAGCTTCACACTCCTTTATCCAGCCCTCGTCCCAGGGGTGTCTGTGCTGTGGCTGACCTCTGCTAACCAGCATTGGTGCCATCACCTTGTGTTGTAAATAGCTGCAAAACCCGACTGATGAGAGAATGGCTTAAATAGCAAGGAGACGCTGTGCTTTGGGGCAGGGGAAAGGTGAGATGAAGGTCTCTTGGGTGCAGCATCGCTGCGGTGGGAGGAGGGGAAGCCGTACCACTGTATCTTCTGTTGGGATGTCTTGCTTTCCAGCACGAGCTTCTGGTTAGCTAGCTCCAGGTCCCGTGCTGTCAGGTCCAGCTGCTCGTAGACTTTCGCATGCTGTTCGTTCATCTGCCGCAACATCTCTAGTTGCTTGGTAAGGTACTGCAAGAAAAAGTGAGAGGGAAACACTCCACATCCAAAATCCAGGTTGTTTCACAGGCAGAAATTCCTACAGCCTTTGCTTCCTCTGCTAATGCGTTTTGTGGCTGATTTACCCTCTGCCTGGTTGAACCCTTTTGCACAGGTGAAATATTCATACCCCTGCCCACTGTAAATACCTCTGTGTCTAAAATAAGGTTGGGCTTCCCGTGCCCTCTGTGAAGGGCACTAACCTCAATCTGTCTCAATTCAGCTGTCTTTTAATTCCTGGTACCCAAAGAAAGCTGATATCCCTGGGCCTGCAGCCCTTCGCCAAAGTTGGCTGCAAGTGGCCAGTCGGTGCCTGGATTGTCTGACAGCTCGATTGCAGAAGCTGCGTTTCCTTGGGAATTCAGGCGAAAACTCTGACGCGGTGAAACGTGAGGAGACCGGCGGTTTCTGTGTGTTTGCAGAGCCTTCTGTGAGTCTGTCATTGCAAGGTTTTATCCTGCAAAGGCTGGGAGAGGGGCATCTACCCAGGGGCTCTCTCTCAGCTGGACCAGATCCCGAATCCTACGGTGGATGTGCTCCTGAAGGGATGCTGGGGGGGGATGGCTAAATCCATCCACCAGCTTCCTTGGATATCAGCTGCCAGACCCCTGCAGCCATCACGTGCTGCTGTTGTGACCTCGCAGCCCTCCTCTGCCC